TGGGAAATCACATAACAGTAGCAATACTTATATAAATTGGCATTTAGAGTTTCCTTGTTCCTTGTTCAATCTTCCTATTTGAAATTATATAATTTAACACATTATTTTTTATTTATTGATAATGTTGTTAATATTAGGCTAGCATATAGTATGAACACTAAACTGGCTTATAAATTATAAGTTATTACAAATTTGTTTTGAACCCGCTATATCCGTTAATTTAAGAAGCCCTCTTTAAATCCCCATTTAAATTCACTATATTTGTATATTGTAAAAAATATAAAAGTATAATAATATGAGTATTTGACCGTGCGATATTTAAATCTCCATTTACTCCAACACCGACTGGTCACGATGCTTCAATTTCCTGGTCACGAATAGTTTTCGAGTATTCCCACATACTGGTTATATGAAAACGTTTGAAATGTAAATTACTATAATTATTTCACACAATTTTCCTTAAAATTTCTCAGGAATTATGAAATATTTTAAAAGAAATAACAATATAACATACATATAACTTTAAAAATAATACACACATATACATAATAAACGATTAAATTTTTATAACAATTAAAAATTATCCTTGAAAGCAAAGCAAAAAAATAAGAACCTAATTCTAAATTTATAATATTTTTAATAATTTATCATTTCTCATTGAAAATTCTCCTATAAAATCCTTTCTGTTTTAAATATATATTTTGCAGTGTTAATTATTTTTCTAGTTAATTTTTCATTCCATAATTCCTTTTTTTTTTCTTTTACTTAACTATGAAACGATTTAATAAAAAAGAAAGAGAAAAAAAAAAACATTTGGTTTTGTTTTTATATATTTTTGTGCCTAAATCATCCAATATTATCCTCATCAACGGTTATCATCATTATTATTAACTATGCAATATAATAATAAAAAAAAGTAGCTATATAAAGAAACTTTAAACCTATGATGAAAATCATAAGAAAATAGGAAAATTCTTAACCCATTAGCAATATGAAAGTTAATGAGTTAAAAGTCCAGACCAGACTATAAATCTTTTAGGAGAACAAAACAGAAAAGTCCTTTTTCTTTTACTCTTTTTATAACATCTAAAATTATTTTGTTTAATAATTTTTATCTCAGTATAATAACTGTTTGGACCCATATTAATAAAGTTTGTATATTAATTTTTTTTTTTTGTATTTTTAAAGAATTAAGTGGTAAGAAGTTATTACGGGCTATTTTCATTTATTTTAGTTTTTTAATTGAACATAAAAAACATCAACGTAAATTTTAAAGTTAATAATTTAAAAGTTCTATCGTAAAAAAAATTCATATCTTAAAACTGTAAAGTATTTTAGTGTATAACTAAGTATATAACTGTAAATAAGTTTTTCAAAATATTTAACGTTGCATACGTTTAGGCGGATCACCACGCAATAAAGGCCAAATCGTCTATTTCGCTATTTTACTCGCAAAGTGAGAGAAAAGTGAGTAACTATTATATATTTGTATAATGGAATTTTTGAGTGAGAAGAATTATTTGGTATTGCGTATCTCGTTTTTTTCTAAAATGTATTCAAAATTCATTCACTTTATGTTTGAAAGTGAGACGCTCAGTCGATAATTTGAGAAAAAATTCAAAAATCCAATTGAAAAAATGGTGAATCTTGTTGGAAAAATGTCTGATTTAAAAGTGAATAAAAAATGAGATGAAAAAGCGAGATACACGATTAGGCTGTAAATTTTGTGATAAGATTGGCAATTACTTTAATTAAAACTCATTACAAATTTTTATAAAATATTTGGGAATTCGATAAAATTTATAAAAGAAATAAGTGTATACGAACAAATTACGTTTGATAAGCGCATTTTTTTTTACCTAGGTATCTTTTATGCGTATTAATTATGATTTATGATTTCATTTTAATTAAATCGTCTGGTATAATTTACAAAATCATTGTTACATCAAATAAGCTTTTTCAAAATTAAAATTTCGATCATACTTTTAAAATGAGGTCATTACAGAAAATAATTTTTCTTTCTCACAAGTGGGTTTGTAATAAAGGTCACGAAATTTCTAATTTTTAATTATATTAAGGCATGGCGCTTGGTCTTGCCTTACTCACTTATTCATAATTTTTAGTACATACCTCAGGTATATGAAATTCCTCTTCGACATTGTGGAATCTCAAAATCTATAATTGATAGTATTTCCATTCTTCTATAAATCTAAAACATTTAAAAAAGGAAACATATTATGTAAAACATGTCCGCCTGTAAAATGACAACCAGTATAAACTGAGAAAGGGAAACAGAAGAAAAATATGTACAAATGTCCGTTTTATCTTACTCTAAATGTCATATTTAATTTGAAAACACAAATTTTATTTTTTCAGCCTTGTTGTCCACAATTTTGTTTTTTTTTTGCGTTGTTTTTACTATAATCATTTGATTGTTTCTTGTTGTTTTTCTCTATTTTTTGTAAGTTTTTTTTTTGCTTTTTTCATAAATTTTCATTTTCTTTTTCCTTTTTTATCTTATAAATTTAGCAAAATCCAGTCATTTTTTTTCTCTTTTTTGTCATATAAATCTTTTTAAATCCATTTTATCTTTTAGTATCATTAAAGTTATGTCATTTTCCATACGCAAGTAATACTTAACAGGGATAATGGGAATAATTTTCGCAGGGAATCTAAATTTTAACAAGAAAAAAAAGAAAAAGGAGTGTGTTTGTATGGTAGAAAATTTTATTTTTGATAAGGTTCCAATTTCATTTCTGGCGGCTGTTTATACACTAAATTATAATAATTATAGATTGGGTTCCATCTTCTTTTTTTTTAAATAATTCATGTTGTATATAAATAATATGAAAATATAATGTTCATACTCGTACACAGAACTACTACAAAAAAGTCAATAAGGATTATAGAAATTAAAACTGAAAATATTAGATTGACTAGAGGATATTTTAAAGAAAATTGTTATAATATCGTAGAATCATTAGTTACATAATGTACCTAGGTATCACACCATTAAATGTTATATTGGGGTGTTTATTACTAAAATAGTTTCATTATGGAAATATCAATTTTAAAAAGACAAAGAATTCAGGTATCGAAATTGACCGCACTCATAAGGATGCGCCGCGAAACTAAAAAGATCATATTTTTCGAGTGTACAAGGACTAAAGTGCCCTTGTTCTGGATATGAAAAAAATTTAGTATTAATTTAAGAAATATATAATTGACATTTATTGACTTTTAAACGAAAACCTTGACATACCAAATTCATAGTATAATACCATCATATTAGATTTTATTTCAAGATTAACCTGTACTGTAATACTTTAATACTTGTTGATGGCTATTGATTCAAGTTAGAAAAAAGAGCTTATAATGTATTTAACAAGTAAAAACGTTTCAGTCGGTATAAACTGATTGAATTATACCCTGCAACTTTCGTTGTTGTATAGCAATTACTCAAACATATGAAACCATTCTATAGAAATTTCACGGATATGTCTGATTTATAACTGGACACACAACTGCCAAGTTTCATGAATCTGACTTTATTTTTCCAAATATTTAAACTCTTGGACTTATATGGGAGCTACTCGTAGCTGTAGAGCAATTCAACCAAAACATCAGAAATATATTTGACCTATAACTCGACACATAACTGCCAAGTTTCATGAATCTGACTCTATCATTTTTCCAAATATTTAAAATAAGCTTTTGGAGTTGTATGGCAGGTACCCGAACCTGTCAAGCAATTCCTCTAATTCAGAAATATATTTGACCTATAATTGGACACATGACTGCTAAGTTTCATGAATCTGACTTTATTATTTTTCTGAATAAAAAAATTTGTTGTTGGAATTGTATGGCAGCCACCCGAACCGGTGCAGCTATCCCATTATAATTTTTAGAGCATATGTGGAATATAATTGGACACATGTATACAAAATTTTATATTTATAGCTTTTTTAGTTTTTGAAATATTTTAAATAAACTCTTTGAGTTGTATGGCAGCTACCCGAATCCGTTGTCCGAATTAGTCCAATAACAATAGGGCTCGTCCTTGGCACAAAAGAAAAAACTTGTGAAAGTTTGGTGTCGATTGCATTATTCGTTTTTGAGTTATCGTGCGATCGGACGGACGGACGGACAGACGTTCATGTCTAAATTGACGCAGAATTTTACGCTGAGCAAAAATATATATATATATTTCCATACCGCAGATGACTCCTTCAAGTAGTTACAAACTCCATACCAAAGTTAATATACCCTTCACGAAGTGCAGGGTATAAAAATCAGAATTTTTCAATATCGTTTTAATATCGTAAAGTAAAATTATAATTATAATTTTCACCGCAAAAGAAGGAGAAAACCAATTTGCAATAAGCTTCATAAAATTATTTTATTTCTTATTGAAAATTTCTATTAAAAAATAAGGTAATAAAACTCGGTTCAAATATTATTAAAGGAAATCTAAAAAAAAGACTATTTTAAATTATACGATCAAAAATTTTTTTCAAATTACCTTGTAATATAAGGGATGTTTTTTTGAAAATTTTATATCAGCTCAAATCTCTTAATATTCTTTTATGCATTTTTGGCTTTTACATATTTAAAATTACGGTGAAAAAAACATAAGCTTGTGGATGTAAAATTAGTCGGTAAATGTACTATAAAAATTTGATTCAGTTGTTGACCTATTTCCAAACTAATATTAACGTACAATGTCATAAGCAGTGACATTTTTTTAAAAAATATTCGATATTTGCCAGGGTTCTTTTCCAAGTAAGACGGATAGTAACTGAAGGTGAAATTGAAAGTGAAAAATTTTAAATCTTTCTTGAACATTTCATAAAAATTTTTTTAATTTTTTATAGTAACCCAAGTGTGGCACTTTCTATTAGATCTATTATTAATAAATTTCCTGCTAAATATACGCAAACATTTTAGTTACGGATAGCAAAGTAAAAAATTATAAGAATAAATTTTTTTTTTATTTTTAGTCTTTACCACGAATGCCTTCACCGAAATTAAAACCAGCTGGAACACAAACAATTACATCACCGCCATCATCTAGTTCAAGTAGCGCACTATTACAAGTTCCTAATCAAACAACACCTATAATAAATGTAACGAATACATCTAGTATTGAATGTGATGATTTACCATTACCACCAAGACCAACAAGTCGCCGTTCGTCACGTGTTCTTTCACCAGGGCAATTTCCATCACATCAGCAACAAATTGATCGTAGAAAAATGGATGTATTAATGATGACTTCACCTACAACAAGGTAAAAACAAATTTAATTTCAATAAAAATATATTATGCAAAACACAAAATTTATTTATAAATTCTTTCATTTTTTTTTTTTGCTTTTCATCAAAAATGTATAGAATCCCACCAGATATTGCGGCTGCGGATTCAATGCAACTACGCGAATCAATACCAATTGTTCATGAACATCATACTTATGTAAATCGAATGGATTTGGGTATTAAAAATAATACTACAGATATTTCTGAATGCAGTACAAATACAACAGATGAATATGTGACATGCACTGATAATTCAAAACGTACGCCAGGTATTAAAACACCACCAACAACAGCAAGTTCGTCATCTACACAAGTACCAGGTTCGAATTAATTTGGTGTCCTTGTTAAACTTTGGAAATATTGGAAAAAAATTTTTTTTTTTATTGTCATGTTTGTTTTCCCTTTATTTTCTTTTGCTGTTATCCTTATTTTTATAGTGAGGAATGAAATTTCTAAATTGCAATTTGTTTTAATGTTTTTTATTTATATTTTGTATTTCAATAACGCTTAAAATTTTAGGCTATCTATCAGGTATCAGGATTAATTTAAAATGGAATGAATATTTTTGTTTCACTGAATTGTATTTTTCCCATTGTTTTGATTAATTAACTGCACAATATCGTACTTATTTTGAATATTACATAGAACAATTTCCCTTGCATCCATAATCATTTTAAAATAATCTTTTTTAAGCACTTTAGTACGAAAATTCAAAAATCAGTTTTGCATGAACATTTTAATTTTTATAACAATAGACGAAGTATAATTATAAAAAATCCAATTTAGTTTAGAAATTAAAAATACAGTAATTAACATTTTCATATTAATAGAAACGTTGAAAAACTAAACATAATTCAGATTCGAATATTTTCCAATCAGCCTCCTTTAATCAAGCTAAATATTGACTTTTGACTAAACCAATACAAATATGTCTCCAAACTGAAACACTGCTCTATCGTATTAAATTTATTTCAAAAACAATCTTCAAAATAAATTAGGCACATGGTAAATCTTTTTTAAAAAATCTTGTGTCGCAAAAAGCATTCATTTAAATCAGCCAAGAAAGCTTTATAATCTTCCTTTTCATTTTCGTCATTCCATTTGAATTCATCCTTTTAATTTCTTTTAATTAAATATTTATCAAATAAAATTCACTCTTTTTTGATATGACAAGCATATACATATACATATAGATAAATATATGTATATGAACATTTATTTTGCACCGTTATTCTAATTTTGGTATTTGCTGTTGTGTGATGAATGGCTTTATGAGAGAAAACATCTCTTAATTTATTTTTTTTGCAGTTGTATATGTTGGTACCGATAAAAATAAACACATAAGCTTTGTAACTTTGTAAATTCTATGTCAAGAATTAAATATTAAATTTTTATTTTTTTTTCATTTTCTTTTTTTTTTACACTGATATTTTGAACTGTTAGTTTCACAACAAAGTTCACAAACAGTTCAAGAAGGATCATCTTTTGAAAGTGCTTCTTCCCTATATTCAACTCGTGGTGACGGTTTATCTGAAGACAATCCCCAAACTGATGATGTTCAATCAAATGAACCGCCAGAACCATGTTCTTTAATTTCACATGTAACTACTCAAATAGTTGTAAGTGATGGTGTTATACCACCACCGGCAGGTGCAACAGTACCACAAATATTATCTCCATCTCATTCAGTTACAAGTAGTTCATCTGATAGTTACCTAATAAATGATATGACAAGGAAGAAAAGTGTTTCAATTACAACTCCTACAACGGCAAATGCTGTAATATCAACATCTCCTACAACACCTGGATCAACAACTTTAACAACAACAACAAAAAGTCCAACATCTTTGCGTACAAATGTTGTTGGTACTGCAATTACTTCTGGTACAGCAAAAGTAGCAATTGCTCAGAAGAAGAAATCTGAATCTATTTCGGATGAAGAGAAAAGTGAAAAACGATATTCAAGCAGCGGTTATTATGAAAGTCCACACGATGATGAACAATTTAAATTAACAATACGTCACAGGCGTGTTAAAATTGAAGAGGAACGTCGTCGTAGACGTAACAATATGAAATTAGATATCGAACGTGAAAATTTAAGAGCTTTAACTTCACCAATAAAAAAACCCACCTCATCATCTTCCTCGATACAGACACAACAACAACAATCACAACAGCAACAAACAACACCATCAACAAAAACAACTCCTACCTCTGGCACAGGTATAATATCACCCGAAGATCGTACAACAGCCGCTTTAAATATTCTCGATGGAACAAGTCCAAATAAAATGAAACGTTTCCGACCAAAAATTAAACGACAACCACGTAAATCAAGCATGACTGAACAAAACATATCAATGATTCGTAAACCAAAAGGTGTTCATGGTATTCGAAGTCCCGATAGATCTACTGATCGACCATTACAAATACCTGCAACAACGAGTAAACATTCACCAACAAAACATGAAAAACGTATAACAAGTCCACCAAAAAAACATGCAACAATTAGTGGTCCACCAGCTACCGACGTAATTTGTTCTGAAAAACGTTTAAAAGCTAAATCAATTGAATCATTAAGATCTGTATCACCTGGATCTGATTCTGTATTTTATAGTGAAACAGCTGAAGTACCAGCTGATCAAATACATTGTTTACATTGTGGAAAAGAAGTTGAAATATTAGCAGCTGCATCTGGTTCACAAGAATCTATTCCACCAATTGATGATGAAGGAGCAGATATGCTTGTTAAACCGCCAGCTGATTTTGCTGATTCACCTATTACAACGAAAACATCACAACGATTATATAAAAAAATGGATAAAAGATTTCGTTCTGAAGATCGACATGGAATCGAAAGAAGTCGACATTATAGAAGTAGACAAGAAAATGTTAGAGCTAAGGTAATTTTAAATAAAACTTCTTTTGTGAATCACAAGTTATTGTATTTGAAACCGACCAACTAATATTAATTTTTTCTTTCAAATAAACTACTTAATTTTAACAATTATCGAATAGAGTGAAGAGAGAACAAAAGAACAAACAACACCAAGTCCACCATCAACATTACGTCCATCTGGTTCAAGTCCATGTATGCTGCCAGATGACTTAGATGAAACTGAATCAGAACAAGTTTATCGTGGAAATTTTCAAAAAGGTTTATATACGAGATTAACAGACAGTGATGTTTGGGTCCAATTAGATCATCAAAGTTTTGGTAATTATTGAAATTAATTGTAGATGATATTATTATTACTTTCACGTGTCGTGCCAGACTCTTACAAGAACTATCATCGTTAAGAACACTTTATTTAATTTTTGGAAAACAAAATGTTCTACTTAAATTTTTTTATTTTTTATATTAAATATAATAAAAATGAAATTTTTTAGCTTAATTAGAAAAACATTTCATTGATACAAAAACAAAAAACTACATAATTCTATTAATATTTTTAATATTTCTTTTCACAATTTATAAAAATAGATCGTCACAGAAATCGACGAGGTTCAACAGACTCTGAAAAAGCATTCCAACAAAAATATCAAGTTATATTACATCGTTTAGTGCAGCGAAGGTGCACTCTAGAAATGTATCATCGTCAGAAACAAAATTCATTTAGTGAGTACTATGCTTTAAACTAAAAATAAATTTCATATTAGAAAATATGTCGAAAATATGTTGACATATTATATAGATAAATATCTTATATATATGTAAATTTTATTTGCCGTAGAATAAAAAGTATCCGATACCATTTTCTTTGCCTGTCTTCTAGTTTCTCTGATTTTTCATAATGTTAAACAAAATAGAGTGTACATATTTATTAAGACTAATATATTTTTCTTGAATCAAAGAAGAATTAATTTGGGATAATCTTTGAAAATCATTGATGCTGAAGCTAGTTAAAAGTGGTCGAAAACACTTTTTTAATTCTTATAATAAAAAAAAAATATTTTATTTAAAACCAATTTCTATACTATTGCGCCGTCGAAGAGAACAGCAATTAAAAATGTTGAATTTTCATTTTTAATGAAAAGTGAAAATGAAAAAGAAAATATTTTTGATGACGTTACTAAAATGTGATGTGTGTGAAAAGAAAAGAATTTTTTATTTCAATTTTATTTATTTTCACATAAAAATGTCGTCTATATTATTTAAGAACTTTTGATTGTTTGTATTCTCCTATATACATAGCGTATCTATGTATATAAGGCGATTCATGTTTAAAATTTTTATTTTTGTATTATAAACTTGAAGTTCCTTTTTGAGTGTGCTATTAACTTTTTAATGTATATATCAAATATTGAATATAATTGAAGATTTTAGTAGTTGCATTAAATAATGCTCGATATCAGCAGTCGAACTCATTGCATGGCATTTGTTTGAAATAATCACCATATTCATGAAATAATCGAATTTTATTGGAAATAAAAGGATGATTTTTTGATAAAATACTTTTCTGCTTACCAAAGGAGCCGTGCCGAAAATCTATGTTCTCTTAGAGAAGAAAGAACTTCTCTTAGAGAAGAAAATAAAGAAGAAAGGTTTTGCTTTTAAGAAATTTAGTAGTTTTAAAAATTTCAACTTATGTGCCATCTAAAGCCAAAACGTTTAGGAACATCTTTATCAACCTCAATACAATTATCTTATGCCACCCTGAAATTGTATTTTATCCAATATTTTACCTTGAAGAATGTGTTATAAGAGAGTGTCGCATGATTTCATCGATTTTTTTCACATCATTTTCAAAATAATGATTTTTCAGCTTTAATTTCACTCGTTTCTTCTTTTTATTGAGGATCATATATGCTTTTAACCTTGCCATTTTCTATTAAATTATTGTAGTTTTTAGCACTTTTCCAAAAAATTTTTTGAAAAAAGTGCTTATTAGTTTCACTCTGTCCGTCCGTCCGTCCGTCCGTCCGTCCGTCCGTCCGTCCGTCCGTCCGTCCGTCCGTCCGTCCGTCCGTCTGTCCGTGTGTCTGTTTACAAAACTTCTACACCTTTGAAGATAGAAAGCTGAAATTTAATACGTACATAGATCTTTACTAGAAACTTATTTCCGTAGAACAAAATTTTTAGCTATCTCCCCCCCTCTAGAAGTTATACCCCCCCAAAACCCTAAAAATGGCCTTTTTTAAATATTTGTTGCAATGAAACCATAAGCATTTTTGAAATTTTGCAAACGCAGAAAGGCAGTGGCTTGCTTCCCCTTACGCGGTATACTATAGTTCAACTTAAGAAAAACAAAATGACCGCTCAAATTTACCGTTATTTAAAGTCCTTTTTTTCCAAATTTTTGATGTCGTTTTTCTTCTAGACCCCAGACTGTAGAAGCTTGAAATTTTAGGAGCTTTTAGATATTAATAAATAGTTCATTTTGTTAGAAGAAAATTTTTTTCTATCTCCACCCCCTCTCAAGTTAGCACCTCTTGAAATTCGTAAAATTTGAATTTTTGACACCTTATATTTCCGAAACCGCAAGCTTTTCCAAATTTTTATAAACGCAAAAAGCTAACGGTAAATTCCGTGAAATTAAAAAATATAATTATTTTTCTTAACTCACACAATTAAACCTTAAAATCGAGCATTATGTTAACCCCTTTTTATATTAATTTTTGCTTTATTTCAAAGACTGCATAAATTGTTCATCCTAAATATATGCAATCCTAGAAATAGTTTTGTATATGAATGAAAATAATTTTAATAGTGTGATAAGTATACATAGACTGTATTTAAAAGCAGAATTTTCACTTGTTGAAGGGAAAAGTGCTACAATGCAAACCATTGGTTTGACCCAACTTTATTATTTTTTAGTAGACATTTTTCATTTTCATTATTGTGATTTTTTCATTTTTCTTTTATTCTTACATTTCTCTTTACGTTTTTTTCTTTTTCCAATTTTATTCTAACATATCTTTATACTTCCTCATACCATGTCATATCAGAGTTTTTCCAAGGCTTTTCAAACTGATGATACGCTATACAGAATATTTTGGAATTCCAGAAAATGTGTATAAGTTTGTGTAAAATTACATAATCAACGCGATACAGCTGTAAAAAGAGATTTGAGATTTTTGTCCTTAATATGAGTAAAAACTAGTATTTTGCAAGATTAAGATAAAATTTCAACAAATTGGAATAGACTAAAATTTTGGTACTACACTCAATAATTTTTCGCGTTTCACAGTCGCGAATGACACATATTGAAAAACACTGTAATTCCTTATAATACCGAAATGAAAATTCATAAATAAACCCAGTCGACTTTTATGATTTTTGTATATTATAAAATCAAAAAAAAAAAGAAACGAAAAGATTTTAATGAAAATTATGTTTTTGAGCGAATTAAATTAGTCTTAATGTCGCTGTCGGTCGGAGAATAATAACGTTATACGTGGAAAAAAAAGTGAAATTAATTTTTTTTGTCTTTTTGAACAAAATTTCCATTTTTTTTTTTGTGTTGAATTTCGGCATTTTGTTTACTGTATTGGACTGAGATTTTTAAAATTTGTTGCAGGGAAAAAAAAAAATTTTCACGTTTTTCTTTTTTCCCATTTAAAATCATATTTTTTCCCCACCTCACGTTACTATAAAATATTGGTTAGTTCTTGTTTGTTAAAATAAAAAAAAAATTTTGCGACAACAGAAAAAAAAATATAAAACATGCATCAAAAAATTTTAATATTTTATTATGAAAAATGCTAAAAATGAAAACAAATTTAAGAGAAAACGTGTAGCAGGCAGCCAAATTTTTAAGTATAATTGATTTTTTTTTCATTGGACAACGCTATATCGGTCACAGTTAAAGCAAAAACAAAATAAACAATAATCAAAAGTTATATAAAAAAAAAATTATAGCGATAATAAAAAGAAAATTTATTAGTGATAAAAAAGAAAATAAGCGAAAAAAATCGAGTTCAATGCCGAAAAATCTACCTAAAATGACTGAATTAAAGTGGAATTTTGAAAAAGGGCAACAAAGTAAGTTTTCATTAGAAATTAATAATAGTTTTATAAAAACTCAATGAAGACAATGCAAGGGAAGAATTTAAACAAAAAATTAATAAATTTCTATTTTGATTAAAATTCCTGCTTCTGGAATTGTCGTATAGCTGCATTAAAAAATTAGCAATAGAATAAAAACATGCAATTTAAAGAATTTTGTCCGATAAATCTATTTTCCAAAAACAGGGAAAAAAATTTTTTTAAATTTTCGATTTCGGAATTAAATTGGAATTTAAGCAAGAAAGCTGGTTAAATTGTAGCACAAACAGTAAAAGTTTTCCATTATTTTTAAAAATTTTGAGGAAATTAAAATATTATTAAAGATTGAATCAGGGACATATAAGAACCATCTTGGTAATATTGTAGCCCCTTCAAAGTCTAACAGTAATATTTAATTAGTGGAACTTTTAGTTACCTGTACAAGAGCAATAATTTTTGTTATCATTTCATTTATAACTATTTTAAATTTATTGCACGTATCAGTAAAACATTTTCAAAATTATTCGATTTTTATTAAATAGCTCTATGTTAAGTTTTAATTATTATCCTAGTGTGTATAACTTGTAATTTCCCGTATTCACGTGATTCAATCAAATTTCGGAATACACTGTAAGTCACATAATTTCATCTAAATTGTATTTTTATATATTTTTCGGCATTAAATTTACAAAGTTTATGTAACAACTATTGGGTGGCGATTTGAATAAGTTTAGTGTTGTATTTAGTATAGATACATATACACATATATATAAATATTGCAATGTAAAACATGTGTAGGTACTATATTTCATATTACCTATATTATTCATTGTTATTGAATATAAACATATTCAATAAGAATTTACATTATTCATTCTTATTATATGAACTGCAGGGCATTCATTTGTTATTTGCCATATCTTCGAATTTGTTCCAAATACAATATTAAAAATATAATAATTGTATAATTAAGAAATGCAATTTTTCTGAATAATTTTTATTAACAAAATTTTAAGAAAAATATTAAAATATCGCAAATTTCTATTTTTTAAATTTTCTGATATACAAAAACAAAAAATGTTGCAATCAATATTTTTAAATTGTACCCAGATTATACTAAAATTTCAATTTGGATTAAAAAGAATAATATAAACAAAAAGCAAAATTAAAAAAAAAAAACAAAACGTATTGAAAATAAATCTGAAAATTTGTCAAAATTCTAAAATTACCTCAGATGTTTCACATAATCATAGAACAAACTAAAAATATATTAATATAGATTCTATATGTATATATGTATATAAGTTGTGTGCACGCATGGTATAGTATCTATTTATTTTTGAAAATAAAAAATTATAAATTTGTGCATAAACCGTAAAATTATGGGAGAAGAGCAAAATAAAAAATAAAAATTTCTTAATTGAAAATTAAAATTTGAGCACCATTTTCAATTCTCATTTGGGAGATAATTAATGATCTTTGAAGGCAACTTTTATTTTTCGTTATTCTTGTCTTTTGACCAAATTAATTTTTTTTTTTTTGAAATAATGACATTTAAAAATAAATTTATCGACGAGAACACATACAAACTAATGCAAATTACAAAATATTCTAATGTACACGAAAGTATGACAGAGTCATCATAAACGCATTTGGTTCACTGACCCTAATTTTTTTGTAATTTTATTCAAAACATAAGTAGCTAGCTACACCGGGTCCATAGTATTAAATAATGGGACTAGGGTATAAAGTATTATAAATAAATTTCGATTTATTGGCAAATTATACCAAATTTTAATTAGAAATGCAAGTAAATGGGGAAATTCAAAAAGATTATTTGCAATATGCAATATTTTTGCATTTTGACATTATTCAATGTTAGTATTGGTATATTAAAGAGAACAATACAAATATGAAACTAAAGGCGTTTTCATTCTTTTTTATATCAAAGCAGATTTAGATCTGCCAAAACATAGATTCTTGTTCTTTTTTTACCTCAAAGCATTCAAGGTTGGAAATTTATATTCTTTAAGGTACAGTCAAAGCATGCTCAGATCGCGCTATACAGGCTTTAAAAAATATTTGGGTTTCACACAGCTCATATACTATTTTGAAATTTCAAATTTTAAAATGACGGAATAAGCTCTATCTTGTTTCGTTTTTAAAATCAAAGCTCTTATTCTAATAAAATTTTTTCATCTGATCAGAGGTCTGACAACTTCCCCATTCGTCAAATGACAATATTAAATTATTAGTTTTACATAAGAAGTGAACATTATACAAAAATCATGTGTTTACTGCCATGAAACTTTTGAAAGGTGCTTATTCTTTTTATCTCTTAAAATAAAAATAATCAAAAGTTTATAATACACTTTAAAGTCCATAGGCTATTTACATTGAAACTAATACTCTTATTATTTCGAATTGCAAAACATAAAATAAGGTTATGACAATTTTCAATGAATTCCGAAACATTTCACTTGTAATATTCCTCATAGCCTAAAAATGAGATCAATGGGACAGCATCAAAGTTTTTATTTTGGATTTTTATAATTGAATTACAACTAAATACGACTCTTTTACGATGTACTCAATATTTTTGTAATCACTAGAAAATAAGAAATAATGATGGCGCATAAATGTTGTAACCAGAAATTTTTAATTAATTAAGTATTCTAATTTTTTTGTTGTAAACACTACTCATATATACCCAAAAATTTTACTTTGCGTTTTGTCGCTTTTAATTTGATAAAAATAGATTAAGCCAATTAAAATTGGCCGATATTTTGACGTAGGTACGCATAACAAAATATTTTCTGAGTGCCAACAAATAGAAAAGTATGTAAATAAAAACAAAACCAAAAAAAAAAATCTTTAAAGCAAAATATTGTATTGAAAGTGCACTTTGCGGAATTTTTTTATCGTATTTTTGTCAACTTATTGAAATTTTATCAAAAAGTTCATTAGACGTTTACAATACAACCAGTTGAGTGGCAGTTTAAATTTTTTGATTCTAACTTAAAATAACTAGAAAAGAGGTAAGGGTTATTAAAATAAGCAATCTATGATTAAATATATGGGGACAACCAGGGCTTGTGCTTAATATTATTGCAAAACATCAGAATAATTCCAATGGGATTGTCGATCAGTTAGAGGGCTATTAATATTTAATATACCTACACACGCCAGATTGGCAATATAAAAATAAAAATTTTGAAAGTGAGGTAGAATGAATGCTGAAACTTTCAAGAAATAAGAATCACGCACTTGGCAAGTTTAAACGCAATTCTAAATTTCATTAAAAATAAACACTCAAATATTTCTATGTATTTTTACAACATCAAACAGTCTTAAAAGTCAAATTGGTGCCGACTAAAGTCCAGTGTCTCTTAGTCTGCCAATTTATGATCAATTTATACAAAAAAAACTACGAAATACTTTTATATTATTTTAAAGATTCATGACATTTTTCATGGTATTTTCTATTTATAATCAATATAAAAGTGTTCGAAGGCGACTGATAATTGATGTGAGTGAAACCAATGAGAATTTATTAGAAAAATTCGATATTCTTTGATTTAATTGTAAATTTTTGTTTAATCAACTAAATTTATTCGAATCGCTACGGTACAGCGGAAAAAATAATTTAAAAGAGGACACCGAATAATTTTCAGAAAATATTTTCCTTTTTTATATTTTTATTTATTGATATTTTCTTCCCTAAATGTTTGAAATCCGAAATCCAAAGGATCAGGATGTTTTTTTCACAACAAGTAATTTTGTTTTTATTTTAAAAATATTTTATTGTTTATTAAAAAATTTTTAATTTTCTAAATTTTAATTTTTTTCTTTTGTTTTATGTGTTAAATTGTTTTTGTTTATAATTTTATTTATTTTAGAATTATTAACTTATCCAGCGCCTCCGGATTCATTAAGAAGAAAATTAGAAGATATTTTTCGTTTAATGTTAATTGTATGGGCACGAGAAGGTCAAGCACTTAAAAGTGTAACTGGCAAAGAAAATGGTATTAAGTGATAAAATTAAAAAAAACAAAAAAAAACTTATTTTTGAAAATTTTTTTGTTTTTGTTTTTGTTTTTAAATGTTTTTCAATAATATTTTTTAATGGAAAAATTTTTTAAACATTTTAAGTTTTAAAATTTCATTATGAAAACGCATAAACTTTAATATTTTAATTTTATTTTTAAACTTAAATTTTTTTTTTTTCAAAATGTCGATAAATTTAGAAATTGATAAAACAGTTATAGTAAAATCAGATTCAGGAGAATTTGGATTTAGAATACATGGTTCAAAACCGGTTGTTGTTGCAGCTATTGAACCAGATACACCAGCTGAAAGTTCTGGTTTAGAAGTTGGTGATATCATAATATCAGTAAATGGTATACCAGTTTTAGATAAACATCATACTGAAGTTGTTAAAATAGCTCATGCTGGTTGTGAAACATTAGAATTAGAAGTTGCAAGAACAATTGGTGTATTAATGAATGAACAACAAGAATCAGCTAGTCCGGCTGTATATACAGGTTATTTATGGAGACAAAGTGGACAGGCGAAAGGTTCACCAAATGCAAAGAAATGGGTTCGAAGATGGTTTAGTTTAAGACCAGATCATTGTCTTTATTATTATAAAACTGATGCTGTAAGTAAAATTTAAATTCAAATTAAATACTTTTCATTCCATATGTTTAAGACATATCTAGATTTTTTTGAAAATTTTGCTTGATTTCAATTACTAAACTATTTTAAATTCGATTGCATTATTTCTAATTTTTAATAAATTATAGGATTCACAACCTGTAGGGGCGGTTATGTTAACAAACCATACTGTTGAACATGTTGATAATGCTGGTAAACAATTTTCATTTAAAATTGATTCTGGGGAAGGTATACCGATGTATTTAGCTGCTGATAATGAAGAAGCCGCAAATAGATGGGTAGCTATAATGAGTCATGCAGCAACACAAGCTGATCCATGGTTAGAATTAAGGTATCAATAGAAATGTTCTATATATAAAAAAAATATATATGACAAGCAGATAATGTTTTACATTACAAAAAAAAAAAAAGAATTATGCACCTTATTCCAAGTTATTGAAATTCAATTACTCTTCTTTTTTTCATAATATATAATATGTATATGTATATGTATATATCGTAATATAAATATATGCATTTTATAGTACTAGAAATATGAGATTACCACCAACCGGAATACCGAGACCAGATTGTTTTGGTTATTTAATGAAATTGGGTAGTAAATGGTGTGGATGGTCAAAACGTTATTGTGTTCTAAAAGATGCTTGCATATATTTCTATCAGGATGTTAATAGTAAAAATGCTTTTGGTTAGTATCTATAAAAGGATATTAAAATTTTATTTTAATAATTTTTCATAAAATGAAAATTGATTATCTAACATTTTAGTTTTCAAGTCATATATTAGTTGTTTTCCAAATATATTAATTGAATATTATTTAATTTTTGTCTTTTTACTATTCAGGAATGGCATGCCTTCAAGGATATAAAGTAGTTGCAATGTCATTGAATGCTGCTGGTAGAAAAAATGCATTTGAAGTTGTCCCACCGGAATCCAAACTAAGGCATTATTATTTTAGTACAGAAACAGAAATGGATAAGAAAAGGTAAGATTTTTGGAATTTAAACCTTGTTGTAATTTCAATTTAACAATTCCAATTCAACAAAGATTTAAAATATTAATCACTGTACTTCAACACTTCGTCGAAATACATACAATCCTATCTGAATCTTCCTATTATATTAAAATTTAATTTTTTTCTGTATAATTTTAGATGGATATCAGCTTTAGAATATTCAATTGACCGTTGGATTAAAGCTGGCTAACTAAAACCAAAAACTACACCGAAACCAATTAGAAAAATTAATTTAAGAAAAATTCGGGATTTTAAAGCGAAATCAACATGAATTTTGTGGGAAGATAAAATTTTAACAAAACAAAAAAAAAAACCAAAAAAAAAGGAAAATCCCTACATTTGAAGATAAAGTAATTTGAAGTGTAAAATACAACAACAAATTATCCTATTACATAATATTAAATAGATTTAAAAGAATAAATTACATAACATGATTTTTAGGGAATAAAATTGACCAAAAACCAAATTTTCAATGTTAATATAAAAACCATACTCACACATACTGGGAAAGTCAGTCAAATATTTAGTTATTTCGACCGAAATTCCAGTCATGTTCGAAATTTGAACAAAAATTTCTATTCGGTAAAAACAAAACTGAACGTTATGAAAAAGTTCTAAATCAAAATTTTTCTTCATTTCAAAAAAATTTATGAAATACGAAAATATTTGTTTTTTCAAAATATCGTCAAATTTTTTGAAAAATGTTTCCAATATTAAAATAAACTGTTATTTTAAATTTTATAATGAACATTTGAAGTATAATCATTTGTTTTCATTTAATTGAAAATGCTAGCAAAATTAAAATTTTATTTTGCTATAACAGTTAATTAATTTAGTTCAGTTTTACATAAAGTTACAATAATTTCGATTAGTAAATAAAGTAAAATTAAAAATTCCGTAACACTCAATTAAACAATATTATTATTTTTGCTTTCAAACTATAAAATCTTTATAATTAATTGTTTCCAAAAAAATTTATTTCAAAATTTTCAATATATTTTATAATAATCCCGATAATTTTATTCAGCGAAACTACCAAAATGTACAAAAAATACTTTAATGATTTAGTTCAGTTACAAGCCATCTACAGAAAATATTTGAAACTAATAAATAGCAAATTGTTGTAAAATTTTGAAATGAAACAAAAATCCGGGACACAAACCTTTTACCCATCATGAATAACTAAAGAAAAATATTTTTTGGTGAATATTATGAAAAAATTCTTTCTAACTTATTAACTTAAACGACGATAGTGAAAAATAAAATTATTTTTTTTTTTTTTTTTAATTTAATAAAAAAATTATCACGATTTATAATATTATACAATTGCCACTTTACGAATACGAAAAAAATTAATTTAAAGAATATTTAATGAATATTATTTCGCACATTGTGAAAAAAAATCTTTCTTTGAACTTATGCTTCCAATTTTAACTTTTTTTTTTGTTACAAAATTAACTGCTTTAAAATTCAATTCTTATTTTGTTTAATTCATTCTTAAATTACAATTATAACTGTATTTTATTAAAATTTCTCTGAAAACGAATGTTTAATTTTCATAATATTCGCTTTTTTTTATTGTTTTAAAAATTAATAAAAATATTTTAATTTTCCTTTTTTTTAATTAATTAAATTTTGAATACAAAAAATAAAGAACAAACGAAAAATAAATGCACAAAATATACAAGAACAAAATTTTAAATAAGAATAAAAAAAACTTCATTTTATATGGAAAAGAAAAACCAAAAAAAAAAAAATTTAGAAAATATTAATTAATAAGACTTTAAAAAAAAAATAGAAAAAAAGAAAATCATAAAATTAAAATTACACAAAATAAAAAAAATGAAATGTTTATTTTAAAAATTGTAAATTAAGTAGGAAATTAAAATGAAATTGGCTTTACTTATATAAAATTAATGAATAAATTGTAATTTGTAAATAAAGAACTTATTTTTTTTTTAATTAAAATTCTACTTTTTCTTAACCTACATAATCTAGCTAATTTTTTATTCTTTTCTTTATTATAAATAATTTTTTCATCCTAAAATTTTCTGTCAAAGACCAAAGATGTAGCACAACTATTGACAACACAACAGATCGATATTTATTTTTAAGTATATTGTAGCAAAAGATTTATGTGACGGCATTTATGTAAAATTTATATAAAATCTTTATATTTCCGAGTCAAATGCAACAATTCATAAAATTTGAATAATATCAAAAACTGTAAACAAAAATATCTATTGCGAATAGTTTTTTAATAGAAATGCGGCTGTTTAAAATTTGCTGCCGAGTAACGGAATTGTCAACAAAATTCCGGAGATACCGTTATTTGATTCCGAAGATAAAATTCCGAAGATGCCGTTGTTTTTGTTGATACTTCATTTTCTGAAATATCAACAAAAAAATTTTATGATGTGTTATGTTCAGAATTTATTTGATGTTGTCTCTCGACGTCTGCTAATATTTGTCAAATTGTGTATCTAAACTTTTTTCGATGAATATATGTTATTTCTGTTGTAAGTAGAAATTTTTAAATTAAGAAAATGAATTAACACAAAAAAAATTTTCTTATTAAAAGCAAGCAATAGAATTAGATAATACAATGCATCAAACTTTTGAAGTCTTCAAATTTAAAATAATGCAATGTTTAAAAAAAGGACTACATTGTGTCACAAATTAAATTCAAATCTAATTTTTTTTTTTCGATTTTGACAAAATTATTTATTTAATTTGGTGGTTCCAAAGAAACCCACTCTTAATTTTTTTAATTTTGCCTAGAATGTATACAAAATAAAAAATTTTTAAAATCTAAAAACCTTTTCTCTCAATAGACAGCATCATAAATCGCATTAATAAATTGGAAATTAAAATCTGTCATCTAAATAAAAAACGTCAGAATTAATAATCAAAATATTCTTTTTATTTATTATGAATTTCGCTTCTTTTGTTACTGTTGTCATGTCAAATTTTTGTTTTTAATTCATATTATTCTTAATTTGAAGCAATCTAATATTTTTGGAAATTATTAAAAATTATGCATTTATTTTAATATCGAAAACAAATATAAAACATTTAAAAGTCTTATGCAAAATATTTTAGATTTTATAGAAATAAATTTATTAATTTAAATTTATTTTTTAAGAAAATAAAAACAATATTGTAATTATGATGAAATTAAATAAATTAAAAAAAAAAATAAAATAATATTAAAATCGCTAAGAAAACTTAGCTTTATTAGAAATTTAAAATATAAAAATAGTGATTTGAAAAAAAAATTGATGTTTAAATTAAAATGACAAGAGAATAAAAAAAAAAACAAAAAACTTGATATTAGAAAATTTAATAGAAAATTCGAGTAGATGAAATTCTTAATTAGTGATTAAGTAGATATGAAAAAAAAACAAGAAAATTTCACAAAATCCTATATTTATTAATCAAAAAAAAAAGCAAAAAAGACCATTTAAATGTTACAAATTTTTAAATACACAATAATAAATGGAAATTTTGAATGTCAAATGGTAAAAAATTCAGTCACAATAATTTTAAAAAAAAAATAATTTTCATAATTTTTCAAAGGAAAAAAATCTTAAAACAAACTTCTTGCTCCAACATCCTTTTCTTATTTTTTGACAATTTCCCAAAAATTTTACATTAAAATGTTCAGTACATTTACCGTGAATAAATTTTTTAATTTTTATCGTTAATATTCATTGTTTAACCTTTATTTTGTTTATAATTCAATTTTTGCTAGATAAAATGCAAACAAATCCAAAACAAGCAGTTGTAAAGCAGATCAATGCATTTGCCGGCACCTAAAGATCCAATTTTTATTCAAATAACTTAGTTCTTAAGTGTATTTAAGGTTTTTTCTCTACAAGTTTATATTATTTTGTTATCACATAATATTGGTGCTCACACATGAATTCATACTGTAAAAGCATAAATCCTGTCCTATACAAAATAAAATATTCTTTATTTCTATAGCCCAGGAATGAAATATATATGCGTGTGTATGTAATTAGGAAATTAACGCATCAATATAATTGGACTTTTACTCTTTAAAAAAAATATATACATATATACAATGTAGAATTTTTCCGATCATCAAATCCATAATCATAGAATCTTAAGTTTTTGGAAAATAAAAATGTATAAAAGAAAAACAAACAAACATTTTTGGAAAAAAAAAACTACAATATGAAACAGAAATTAAACGAAAGTAACCCCATAAATAGTTAAATTTAGTAATATTATTAAATAAATTTATTATAGAGTTATATATGTATAGTTCTAGTTGTATAAAATAAATGATGTGAAATAAGAAACAAAAAAAAATTAGATGAAAGAAAATAATATTGTATAATTTAAATTGCAAAGTGTTTAAGAATATTTCAGTTAAACAAAAAAAAAACATTAAAAATAAAAAGTATAGTAGTTTTCATTTTTTTTTGTATAACAGTTTTCGTTTTGTATAACAGTTAATTTTTAAAAATTAAAAACAAATTATATTAAATAAAATAACGAAATTTAAATTAAATATTTTAATATTTGAAACAAACAAAACAAATTTAATTGGAAAGTTAAAATATAATTGATTGGGGCGGTTTGAATCGCTAAACAAAAACAGATTTAATAGCGTTTAACGCTATAAGTTAAAAACAGTATAGACTTGCCATATGTTTCAAAAATTAAAATTAACTAAAAAATAAAACCTGATAAACAAAGTGCTTTTAAAATTGAAAAAATTAATAAGTTAATAAAAATTAAAAAAAAAAAAATTATTAAAAAGAAAATATTAAAAAAAAAATATTTTAAAAAATTTTGAAATAATAAAAAAAAAACAAAATAGGACGAAGAAATTAATTAAACAAATAAAATTTTAATGGTTTCATTTTTTGGAATAATTTATTATTTTAGATTTTTATTACAAGAATACAAAAAGAAAACTTACAAACAAAAAAAAACAAATTAAATACAAAATTCTTCTAATTTTAGATAGCAGTTTTTCAAATCTATTTTCTTCTTCACATTATACTTTCCGAAAGTGTATAATAATTGAAATATTATAATTTTTTTTAATTTAAATTTAAATTTTATTAAAATAAAAGAATGCTTTCTTGTGGTATTTCATAAGGAAACTGTGACCTTTATTTTTTATTTCACTTTCTTACACAATATTAAAATTCGTGATTTTTAAGTGATAAAAGTGCTTTTTGTATGATGTGCGTCACTTTTTCCAAAAATATTAAAAATTTAACCACCATTTAAATAATTTTTTTTTTTTGAAATTTGACAAGGTTAGCCTAATTTTTAAATTTGTTTCTAAGGTATATTGAGTAAAAATAAAAATTTCAGTTGATGATAATTAGTAACTGTTTATATTAATAATACTAATTAATAATTACTAATTATTAAGTTACTAATATCTCTAATTAAAAATATTAAAATTTTAACTCTTAGGTGACTAAAAATGATGACTGAAGCGGTAAGATGCAGAATTAGACTATATAAGTTCTTCTTTTAGAATGATATACAAACTAGAAATTGTACAACGCATAATAAGAATTTACAAAAAGAAATTTTATAAAATGGAATTAGAATTTCCAAAATTTAATAATTATTGCAGAATGCAAATTCGAATTTTAATTAAAAGGATATTAAATTCCGGCATCGAAGTTCATTTTAGTTTTCGGGAAATATATGGATAACAAAAATTGTTTTACAAAAAAGCATCTATGAATTAATTTATAGAATCAAGTTTAGATTAACAAAAGTGTGATGCGAATAACACTATTATATAAATATTTTAATTCAACTCTGTAGAATGTAAAAAACCACGGATAAATCAAAATTTGCAGTTTAAAATTGTAGCTTATATACCCATATAAGATTTCTATAATTTTCATTTAAAAAACTTCATTCGCAACACACATTTCACTATGATTAAAACTATAACCAATTCCAATGAAAAACTAATGAAATTAAGTGTTTTTTTTTATAGTTTTTTTATGAAATACTACAATTGAAGAGAATCTAAAATAAATATTTTTAATAACATTTTGAATTCGAAATTCGAACACAAATTTTCCAAATTTTCACAATTAATTTTTTTATGTTTGTGCTACATACATATATACGAAAAATTAATTAAAATCATAATTATTTTCTAATTTGAATAATAAAATTTAAAAAAAAAAATTCAATAAAACAAAACCTGTTAAATAATTTAATTAAAAATTGAAAATCTCAAAATAAAAGTATAAAAAATTAAAACTGAACGATATATACATATATATAAATATAAACAAAATAACAGTACATAAAAAATACCGTTGTCCATTTACTAGCAAGATGTAAATATTTATATTTGAAGAACAAAGTAAACACTGTAGAATGCACTTTTCACATTGAATTCGATATTATTGTTACTTATATGAGGCTTGAAATTAATTACAGTTCAAATTAAATTA